TCAAGGGCATTTAGGGGAGTCCAAAGGAGCAACAGCAGATAAGGAATCGAGTGAAGAGCTGAGTGAAAAGAGGTTTCTCATGAGATCAACAAAGGTCTTACAAATCAGAGCTGAAAATAGAGAGATTGGGGAAAGTTGTAAAAGAAATTCACGGGAAACAGAATGATTTCATGGGTGATTGCAATTACATCTTCCCCTATAAACCTGTGCAGGCTTTAAGATCTGCTGGGGAGGTCCATCTCTTGCTCCTACCTTCGTCACAAGCACAGTTGGTGGGGATGAGGGAGAGGGCCTTCTTGGTGGTGGCCCCCCAGCTCTGGAACTCTCTCCCTAGGGAGATTAGATTAGCGCCTACCCTGTCCACCTATCGTAAAGACCTGAAAACTTGAATTCTTCAATGTGCCTTTGATTAATCGGTTCATCTATTGACTAGGCCTCCCTAGCCCTAACTTACTGTCTGGCTTTATAGCAGTTTATTACCTGCCCCACCCTTACAGCTGGATTGCACTAGACCTTGCCCTTCCCTCCTAGATCTGAACACAACCACTGTTCTCGGCTACTGGTTGATGGTTATTGTTGTTCTTATCTTTTTATGATGCTTGTTGTTTAGTTTTATTGTTTTAATGATTGAAATGCAATGTATTTTAATTGTGCTATATCTTACTTCTGTTTTTGCTGGGTTTGGTCCTCATGTAAGCCGCCCTGAGTTCCTTCGGGGAGATGGTGGTGGGATATAACAATAAAGTTGTTGTTGTTGTTGTTGTTGTTGTTATTATTATTATTATTATTATTATTATTATTATGGATGTCCATTAAGCTACAAATTGTTTACCTTAAGTTCAGTTCAGGCAATGCTGTTTAAGAGTTCTTTTGCTCCTGGTTCCAGCCAAGCTTTGATTCTGGATTTAATATATCCTGGAAGTTTTCTATGTTCCTGTTCACGGACTCCTGTTCAAGTTTTATTAGTTATACTTTCCTGATTCTGGACTTATGCTGTATCTGTAATTCCTGGCTGCTCCTGGACTTAGTCACCACTGGAACTTTATGAGACATTTGGATTATTGTTTGGTTATCACCTTTTGCTAAACCTTTTTCGATTATATTATTCCTGACTTTTAATATGCTTTTTATATGTTTTTTACAATAAACTGTTTGATTATATTCCTGGACTCTTGTGTGGTGCAGTGGTCATAGGTGGTCATAGGTGGTCATAGGTGTTTCCAAGCCTGGGGTGCAACAGAGGAAGCAGAGAGTGGGAACAAATCTTCAGTCCGTGAAATAAAGGAATGCAAGTAGTAGGATCCTTCACAGGCCTGTATTGAATGAGTACTTTGCAATTTGTTCATAACTTACCTGGAGTTAGAGGTGGCCATGTTTGCTTTTTTTTTTTTGTCTTGTCAGGAGCGACTTGAGAAACTGCAAGTCGCTTCTGGTGTGAGAGAATTGGCTGTCTGCAAGGACGTTGCCCAGGGGACGCCTGGATGATTTGATGTTTTTATCATCCTTGTGAGAGGCTTCTCTCATGTCCCTGCATGAGGAGCTGGAGCTGATAGAGGGAGCTCATCCACCTCTCCCCGGATTCGAACCTGAGACCTGTCGGTCTTCAGTCCTGCACCACCGGGGGCTCTGCCATGTTTGCTGAGTACTACATTATTTATAACAAAAACTCCTAACAAAAATCTCCTTCAGACTGTAAGAACAGGCAGTAAATGAGCAAATGACACTCGTAGACAGTGTCAAGTGATGTCTATTGGGGCAAAACGCCCTTTGCATATATACCAATGAGGTCTCAGATGGCAGTAATGCAGAAAAGGATCTTGGGGTTACGATAGACAGTTCACATCCTCCAATCCTCTACAAATGAAAACTAGGACACATATGGCAGGGCACAACAGATTGTGGTCAAACGTGTGTGGTCAGGCAAGCAGTCAGCAAAGGAAATTCAGAAAATTACTGTTTAAAGAACATATATGTTGGAATGTATCTATTGAGTTTAGAAAATGCTGGGAAAAGGGCTGGGAAATGCAAATCAATAAACACCATACTCTATGCATTGGCATGCATCCACAGAAGAATGATTAATCTATATACATAAAAATGTAATGTTCATTCGTGGGATTAACATAACTCAAAAACCACTGGACGAATTGACACCAAATTTGGACACAATACACATATCAGGCCAACGAGTGATTATCACTCATCAAAACATTGAAAAACACAGCAGAAGAGACTTAAAAAGCCAAAAAACAAAATATACATTACAACGCATGTGCAGAACCACATATATATACGCAAACACACATATACACAAATATATACACATATATACACACACACAAAACACATATACACAGACTGGGCCACAGCAACGTGCGGCAGGGGATGGCTAGTAATAAATATATCATTCAATGCATTATTCTGTAACCAAAATGCCTGTATCAGTCCTGCTCCAAATTACAACTTTCTCTCAGACCCACTGTTTGCATTCTGTAATCACACCTGCCCCCTTTGCATATTTAGAGGTCCCATTCCAGCTTCTATTTGAGAAAGGTATTCTTAGAATGAAAATAAGATGTGGGAGTGGGGAGAATTATGTGCAATGCTTTAAGCTCTAGGAGATAAACGGAATGTCTTTAGTTATGAAAGGTATTGATGGGAAAATCCGAAATGATAGAAATACATACATCTTTTAGAACATCTAAGGGCACAATCCAGTACACCTAGGAGTAAATCGCTCTGAACTCACTGGGATGAATGTGTTATCGCGATGCACTGTTAATGCACAGTGCCATATAATCCAGTTCAAAGCAGATAATCTGAATTCAGAAACTGCATTATATGGCAGTGTAGCTGGGACTTTAGTTTGCAGTGATGGAACTAAGACAATGAAATAGGGGGAGCAGGAGAAGGAGAGAGCAAAATCACTCAACAGTATCAAAATTGTTCATGTTTTAAATGAGAATGTAAAAACTGGACTCTCAGGAGAAAACAAATATGGTAATCGACAAGGAATTAACTAGGGATATTGCTGTCAAACCAGACTTTTTGGAGATATGCATGATCAAGAGGTGTAGTTGCTTGGGAAAAAGAGCATCAAAGTGATTTTCACAGGACTTTGATCAGGACTGTCCCCCCAATTTTTATTAAAAGGCTATTTTAATTATAAAATAACCGCTCTATTTGGGGTTGTCTTTGAAGACTGTTCGGAAGTTCCAAGTAGTCCAACAGGTGGCAGCCAGATTGCTCACCGGAGCAATGTACAAGGAGAATATAACTCCGGTGCATCAACTCCACTGGCTGCCAATCTGCTACTGGGCACAATTCACAATTAACCTATAAAGCCCTAATGCAGTGTTTCTCAACGTTCCTAATGTTGCAACCCCTTAATTCAGTTCCTCATGTTGTGGTGACCCCCAGCCATAATAATGTTTTTGTTGTTACTTCATAACTGTAATTTTGCTACAGTTATGAATTGTAATGTATATATCTGATAAGCAGGATGTATTTTAATTCACTGGACGAAATTTGGCACAGATACTCAATACAACCAAATTTGGGGTTGGGGAGGGATTGATTTTGTGGTTTGGGAGTTTCAATTGCTGGGATTTATAGTTAACCTTCAATCAAAGAGCATTCTGAACTCCGCCAACGATGGAATTGAACCAAGCAGGGCATACAGAACTCTTATGACCAACAGTAAATACTGGAAGGGTTTGGTGGGCACTGACCTTGAGTTTTGGAGTTGTAGTTCACCTACATCCAAAGAGCACTGTGGACTCAAACAGTGATGGATCTGAACCAAATTTGGCATGAATACTCAATATGCCAAAATGTGAACAATGGTGGAATTTGGGGAAAACAGACCTTGACATTTGGGAGTTTAAGTTTCTGGGATTTATAGTTCACCTACAATCAAAGAACATTCTGAACCCCACCAACGACAGAATTGGGCGAAACGTCCTACACAGAACCCCCATGCCTTGAAGGGACTCACTGACGCAAGCCTCCCTCCAGCCTCGCAAGCTCTCCCTCACTTGCACATGTTCACCACGCTGCCATGTGCCGAGCACACCTGCTCTTCCCTCCCTGCTTGGAGTCTCAGAAACAGCCCTCCCCTTGGTCAATCACAGTGGAGGAGGGCTATTGGTGGGAGGATTCGTCATCGGTTTCCAAAAAGGAGAAGGATAGGCAGAGAGATCTTCAGCCTTCTCTGCCAAGTAAGACCATCTGAAATATATGTTTTCTAGTGGTCTTTGGTGACCCCTCTGAAACCCCTTCGCGACTGCCCCCCCCCCAGGGGTCCCGACACCCAGATTGAGAAACACTGCCGTAAACGGTTCCATCCCAGCTTACCTATCTGAACGTATATCTCCCTATGAACCTGCAAGAGTGTTAAGATCTTCTGGGGAGGCCCTGCTCTCAGTCCCACCTCTGTTGCAAGCACAATTGGTGGGGATGAGAGACAGAGCCTTCTTAGTGGTGGCCCCTTGGCTATGGAACTCCCTCCCCAGTGATATACGTTTTATTTGTTTTATTGTTTATATATTGTATTTTTTGTATATTGTTGAATTGCGGCATCAAATTGTGCCAAGTTATGTAAGCCGCTCTGAGTCAACTTCAGGGTGAGAAGAAATGGATATAAATATAGTAAATAAATAAAATAAAGAAAAAATATTAACAAAATAGCGAATAAGTTGCTGCTTCAATTCGCGTAACAAATAATTTCCCTTCTGAACCCTACAAAAGGAAAAATACTTTAAAGAAAGAACTTTGAAAGTGCTAATTCTGTTCTCTCACTCTAAAGACCAAGATCAGAAACTAGACCTCTACAAACAGCACTGGTTTTCCATTTAGGAGAGAAATGGGAGGCTAGATTAAGGTCACCAACAGCATTGCATGGCCAGCACAGTGAGCAATGGCACAAATGGCTTTTCATATCCCGACAACAGTGGCAATAATCATGGAGATAAAAGAGGAGAACCAGAGGTGAACATTACCTGTATGCATTTTTGGAAACAGGTCGAGGGTCAAACTTGAAGAAAAGAATGCACATGGGTAACCGATGAGGATGGCAGGCTTCTTCCAAAGAGGGTCAGTGAAGGGTCATGCTGTGGCAGCCTGCAAATGAAACAGTGGCAATAAGGACCGATACAACTCAGAAATTCACACAAATACAGCCTCTGCTTCTCATTAGCAGGAATTAGCAGGACTTTGGAATGAGAGAGAAAAAGAGAAACTGATTTTTTTAAGGTTCAGAAATTAGAAACTGCAGCAAGCAAAGTGATGATGAGGCTGAGGCTGAGACAGACTTTGATCACAATGTCAAACCTGGCCTCTAACAACCCAGCTGTAAAGATCTGACCACAATAATAATAATAATAATAATAATAATAATAATAATAATAATAATAATTTTCTGGACCACCCTCTCTCCCCGAAGGGACTCAGGGCAGTTTACAGATACAGAACAAAACGCAAACATTCAACAGCAAAAATAACCACAAAGGATGTAGAGTCAGCACTCCACCACATCTACTGGGTCTGGGCACACAGGACTCCAGAAAATTTGGCCTGCAACTCCCAGAAATCCTAACAGCCTGTAAACTGGCAGGGGTTTCTGGGAGTTGTAGGCCAAAACACCTGGGTACCCACTGGTTGAGAACCACTGCCCTAAAGTGACATCCTCTCAGCCGCCTGAGTTGCCCTTGGGCTGATATGAGCGGGGTAAAAATGATGTAAATAAATAAAAATAAATAAGAGTTATCCAGATGTTACCCACTAGAGATGTTACCCACTGCAGTCATGCTGGCCACATGACCTTGGAGATGTCTATGAACAATACTGGTTGTTTGGCTTAGAAATTGAGATGAGCACCACCCCCCAGACAGCTTTCTAAGATCTACACCTCAGCTAGCGAGAGTCCAAAAGTGGCAGGCTAAAACCCAGAATCTCAATCAGTGGCTGATACTGGATGAGAAACTCCCTCCTGGGCACACAGAAGACTGGGTGACTTGGAAGGCGCTGAACAGACTGTGTTCTGGCACCACAATATAGAGCTAACCTTAAGAAATGGGGCTACCAAATGGAGTCCATGACATGCGTGTATGGAGAAGAGCAAACTACAGACCACTTACTACGATGTGCTCTGAGCCCTGCCACATGCGCAAGGGAGGGCCTTCTTACAGAGACACCAGAGGCACTTCCAGTGGCCAGCTCCTGATCAAAGGAAATTTAGTATAATGCCAAGTTTTTAACTTTGTTTGTGGATTTTCTAAATATTATAACTGTATTCTCAATTCACTTCTGACACTGTAAATAAAAATAAAAAATCCAGATACTGTTTGCCTCCCTCTGAGAAAATACAATTTGCCCAAGGGCACCCAGTGGGTTTCATGACCAAACAGGGATTCAAATCTTGGAGCACTGGTCTGACTCTTCAACCATTTCACCATATTGGTTCTCAGAAATTAACATGTATTTTGTAAAATAATGCTGAAGTATAGTTTGCGGTTGCATCTGAGTGTGTCTAAGTAACACTACTGGGTAGGAGTTTTTCAATATGAAGTTGCTAAATACTCTTTATGTTCCTTCCCTAAAACACAATTCTGCATGTTTCTGGATTCAGGCCATGCTTCAACGGCATGACAAATGTTCTTTTACAAATCAGAACCTTGTGAAGTTTTTCAAATATTTGCTATATTGGCCCACTGGGAATGGGATCTAGTAATAAAACCAGAATGCAGCCTCACTTTCCCCTCCAGCTGAAGCAATGATGAGAATGTTAGTAACAGGACAAGGATTCTGCGCAATTCTCAGCTACAGACAGCTTGCATGTATTAACGGTTTTCCAGAATGGAGCAATGGCCGTGTAGAGATGGGGGAAATGAAAATCAATAACTGAACTCTATAACAGCTCCAAATAATTAACTTCACCTTGCCCCGGTGAGTGACGACCCACGGGATTTTATCAAACGCAAATTGAATTATTTTTATGAGTCCAGGAACATTGTTAAAGCAATCTTTCCCCATTTCTATGAAACTAATTCTGCTTCTAATTCAAGCTCTACCTTTCATGCTACCTTGCCAAAATATTCTGCAACCTCCCCCATTTTAATCCAACCAGAAGGAAATCCTTTTTCCACAGGTGTTCACATTATTTCGCTCCAACAATTAATAGCAGTGAGTACAGAGAACAGTGTTGATAGGATTTCCCCCATTAACAGTCTGCCAAAACTACTGCTTGGGGCTGTCAAGCTCAGATCAATACAGACAAGAGTCTACTGACAACAGTCTCGTGCCACCATTCAACAGCAGTTAAACTTCCCAGTTCCCAATACCCTGCTAAGGATTCCTGCAGCTACAGGTAAAATACTGATATTTTTTTTCAATTCTAAGACATACTTTTTCCTATATCAACATCTCTAAAATGGGGTGTTGAGAGAAACAGTGAACCAAAGTCACTCCATCTCCTCTGTCTATTCTTTAGAAAAGGGCATATTCTCCACTTCTAACTAAGAAACAGCCTGTCTTTCTTTCTTTAGGGAGGCAATTGTTATGACAGTTGGTTCCAAGAAACAGTTTGTGCCCAGCCAATGTGGTCGGCCAGATATGATAAAGATATATGCAGTATGTCACGTCAATAGAAATGCCTATGGGAGTTGTTTACTTCAGGGGAGGTGTCTTTTACCGTTGGTGGTGAGCTACACCCCACAGATGCTTACCTCGAAAGAGGTGTTAGCCCATCTGTGAAACCTGATAGAGAAAAAAGGAAACTCCTAGACAAGGGTATATTAGCCTCGCAGCCAGAGGGCTCGAGGCGCGACAGCTTTGTATTGACACTGAGCCTTAGTGTCATTCTGTCCGCCTATTCTACTGCAGTACAATAAAGGTGCTTGCTTTTAAACTCATTTGGGCTTCGAGTGGTCTTCAAAGTGTCTCAGCAAGATCCCGGCCGAAAGCAGTGTGAGGAGCGGCCTGCCGTTCCTCCTGTTCCTGCTTCATTTCGTCTTATGATCGCAGGTATATCTTATGTATTGTTGTTATTGGTAGTGAAATTAGAGTGTGTCTTATCAGACATATTAAAAATTAACTGGATATTTTTTATTACAAAAATGCGAGTCAAGCACTGCAAGAGTTAGTAGGCTGAAGCCTGTTTGTGTTAGTTTGCCTAAGTGAGGGAACTCCTCAGTCTGTGTGACAAGGCTTCTCTGTGAGGTAGGCCTTTGTCTATGAGAAGGCTGAGTATGAGAGAAGCCTCATGTGATAAGCTCCAGTGTATGAAGGCTGCTGTGTATAAAGCTACTATGTATTTGTTTATTTGTGTTGTAGAAACCTTGTTATTATAAATAGTGCAACTATAGTCTTTTACTACAAAGAAAAGCCTCCTATGGAAGGGACAGCATTAGTCTCTGTGTTCTTTTTATCATTTTGGGCTACTGGTGCTGGGTCATGCTGCTGCTGCTAAGTTACTTTGCTGTGCCTTTATGAGGAGGGTCTTTTGTTAATAAGCCCACTCGCTCAACACGTCTTACAATCAATTGAAGCGATGGTCCTCCACCATCAACTCTGCTGGACTGGCCACGTTGTCCGGATGCCTGACCACCGTCTCCCAAAGCAGTTGCTCTATTCTGAACTAAAAAATGGAAAATGGAATGTTGGAGGATAGGAAAAGAGATTTAAAGATGGGCTCAAAGACAACCCTAAAAACTCTGGCATAGACACTGAGAACTGGGAAGCCCTGGCCCTTGAGCACTCCAGTTGGAGGTCAGCTGTGACCAGCAGTGCTGTAGAATTTGAAGAGGCACGAATGGAGGGCAAAAGAGAGAAACGTGCCAAGAGGAAGGCACATCAAGCCAACCCCGACCGGGACTGCCTTCCACCTGGAAACCGATGCCCTCACTTTGGGAGAAGATGCAGATTAAGAATAGGGCTCCACAGTCACCTACGGACCCACCGCCAGGACACTACACTTGGAGGACCATCATCCTTCGACTACGAGGGATCGCCTAAGTAAGTAAGTACAATTATTTATTTATTTAGAACATTTATATTCCGCCTTTCTCACCCTGAAGGGGACTCAGGGTGGAACACAGCATATATACAGCAAACATTCAATGCCTGGACGTGAATTCATTATATGCATACATAATCATTAAAAACATTTGTCTCAGTATTAAAATACACTGTTTAAAACCATCTTGATCATCTGTGTCAAATCTAATTTACCTGGTAAGGTTTCCTATCACTGCGTTATTGCAAAGTCCTGAAAGTTTGGTCCCACAGTCAAATTTTTACCATCCTTCTGATGGACAGGAGGGAGGGGACAACCTGATCTCACCAGGAAGGGAGTTCCATAGCCCGGAATCACTGAGAAGGCCCTCTATCTCATCCCCACCAATCGTGCGTCTGACAATGCGGGGACTGAGAGCAGGACCTCCTTGGAGGATCTTAATCTCCGCAATGGTTCATAGGGGGAGATGCGTTCAGACAGGTAAATTGGGCCGGGGCCGTTAAGGGCTTTATAGGCCAAAGCCAGCACTTTGAATTGTGCCCGGTAGCAAACTGGCCGCCAGTGGAGCTGGTGTAACATGGGAGTTGTATGCTCCTTGTATGCTGCCCCAGTTATTAATTGAAGAAATACAGCCATCCAAAATTGGACTGAATGTATTTAATGTTTGAATCCTAAATTTACTTTCATGGACAAAACCATGAGATCTGAAAAGTTGATTTCTGACCTATGACTCCCAGACTCCCCTAAGTCAACAATTTTAGTCGAAAACGTAACTTTTCCGAGCTTTGAGCAGAACATTAACAGTACAAGTGAATTCTGTCCTTGCCTCCCAGCCCAGAAAAGTCTGTTAGAATGACTGGAGTTGTAGCTGAAGGATAGAGTTGGTGGAAATGGTCTCCTTATGAGAATGGAGACGCGAGTTAGAATCCACACACAGTCTTATCGTTTTTCTGATCCCACTCCAGTCTCCTGCCTCCCCATCCTGATTTGAAATTTGCATTTTGAGATGAACAGGGAAATTACTGTTTGCATTTGCCTTGCCTATCAAGCTCAGAAGCCAAGATAAGCACACAACAGTTGTCGGTCTAGGACGAAGCAGAAACACCTG